AAAACGGGATTTTGGCTTAAATAGCAACGCTCTTCTTGCCGAATTAAGCAAGCGAAAATTAATAATTTCGCAAAAATCCTTCTGAACCTAACGAAAAAACTATATTTCACTGTGTTTGTTTACTATTAAATTATTTTAAACTTACCTAAAATATATTTAGTTGGATTAGGCTATTTTAAATTGCGCTTGTTATAATAAGGTTAGGTAAGTTTTCTCAAGTTCTTCTGTTACAAAATTATTAATTTTTACATTAACATATATGAAAAAAATATATATTTAAACTTATAAACAAACACAGTGAGATATATTTTTTCGTTAAGTTCAGAATGATTTTTGCGAAATTATTGCGTACACAAATTTTCGCGTCAAGTGCGCGTCTGTAGCTCGACTGCTTGTGCACTAAGCTCAATGATGTCCGTGGTTCGAGTCCGGTACGGGTGGAAACATTAGGAACTGTTTCCTTAAGACACCTGCTGTCCCTGTTCACCTAGCTGGGTGTTAGTCGACTGGTGTTGGTCAAATCCTGGAGACAAAATTGATCTAATTTGACCGAAATGCTCTATATAACAAGGAGCTTTCTATATAGTAGTATGTCATGGATGTCAGCTAGGCTTGTACACACCGTACATGTACTTGTAGATATAAAGAACATTATTATTACTCTTCTTTGTAGCTGAGGGGGATTGAATCTCAGTCCCTGGTCTGCTTCCTGCTGATACCTAGTTCACTCCAATTCAGCCTCGTAGGCACTATCATAACTGTGTTTGAAGCAATACATGGATCCTGCCCCCACCACTTCGTGATGCGGGTCATTACACTTCCTGACCACCTGAGACTGAAGAAATACTCTCTAACATCCGTGTGACTCATCCTATTAACATTCAACCTGTGTCCTTGAGTATTTTTCATGTTATTATCATACTATCTGAGTATTCTGTGCATTTTAATGTTATGAGACTCAGTTTTAAATTTATATTTCATTTCACTTACCTGATGTGGGCCCCAACCTGGTGCTGCGTATTTCAACTCCAGCATGTCGTATGTCATATATAGGGTCGTGAAAGACTGTCATTTGAGATTCCTTGAGGTCATCTTAGATTTGTCAAAGAATCCGAAACATTATTGGTCCCATTACCGATCTTTGTGAAACATTACAGGTCCCAGTACTGATCCTTGTGAAACATTACTGGTCCCATTACTGATCCTTGTGAAACATTACTGGTCCCATTACTGATCCTTGTGAATAATTATTGGCCCCATTACTGATCCTTGTGAATAATTACTGGTCCCATTACTGATCCTTGTGAAACATTACTGGTCCCATTACTGATCCTTGTGAATAATTACTGGCCCCATTTCTGATCCTTGTGAATAATTACTGGCCCCATTACTGATCCTTGTGAATAATTACTGGCCCCATTACTGATCCTTGTGAATAATTACTGGCCCCATTACTGATCCTTGTGAATAATTACTGGTCCCATTACTGATCCTTGTGAATAATTACTGGTCCCATTACTGATCCTTGTGAATAATTACTGGCCCCATTACTGATCCTTGTGAATAATTACTGGTCCCATTACTGATCCTTGTGAATAATTACTGGCCCCATTACCGATCCTTGTGAAACATTACTGGTCCCAGTACTGATCCTTGTGAATAATTACTGGTCCCAGTACTGATCCTTGTGAAACACAACTGGTCTCAGTACTGATCCTTGTGAAATCCCACTTATCACACTTTCTCACTCTTTGTCTCCGTATTAGGCATTCTGTATGCGTAGTGTGTGTACTCACCTAGTTGTGGTTGCAGGGGTCGAGTCACAGCGCCGGGCCCCGCCTCTTCACTGGTCGCTACTAGGTCACTCTTCCTGCTCGATGAGCTTTATCATATTTCTGTGTGTACTCACCTATTTGTGGTTGCAGGGGTCGAGACTCAGCTCCTGGCCGCGCCTCTTCACTGACCGCTACTAGGTCCTCTCTCTCCCTGCTCCATGAGCTTATCATACCTCGTCTTAAAACTGTGTATGGTTCCTGCCTCCACTACCTCACTTTCCAGACTATTCCACTGCCTGACAACTCTGTGACTAAAGAAATACTTCCTAACATCCTTTTGACTCATCTGAGTCTTCAACTTCCAATTGTGACCCCTTGTGTCTGTGTCCCATCTCTGGAACATATTGACTCTGTACACCTTATCTATTCCTCGCAATATTTTGTATGTCGTTATCATGTCTCCCCTAACCCTCCTGTCCTCCAGTGTTCGGGCCCGTTTTCCCCTTTAAACCCTTTCTTCGTAGGACATTCCCTTGTCGGAACTAGCCTTGTTGAAACCCTTTGCACTTCTTATTTCTTGGCGTGCGTGTGGTGTGTGTTGTTGTGTGTGTGTGTTGTGTGTGTGTGTGGTTTGTGTGGTTGTGTTGTGTGTGCGCGTGCGTGGTACCCGTGGGTGTTGTGTGTTTTGTGGTATGTCTGTGGTACTGACCTATTTGTGGTTCAGGGGTTTGATTTCAGCCCCGGGCCCCGGCCTCAACTTGCCACTTCCAGATTCATCCCTCTTAAATCGTGGGTTTGTCGTACCTGCTCTTAACCCTATGTATGGACTTGTTTCCCACCTTACTCTGAGACTAAAGAAATACTTATAACCCCTTTGGGGCACATGTTTTTTAAATTCCGTGTTTTCCCGATTTTCGCTTTCTAACACCCAAAAACAGGTACCTTTCTTTTTTTGTTTTTTTTATCTGTCCTCCTGATTTTTTGTCTTCCAGTATACTTAGATTCTTCCATTAGTTTCCTCGGGGGCTTGCCCCTTAATCGGAACAAACTTTGTTGCATTTTCTGCATTTTCCCCAGTTTCTTAACAGCTTTTTCAGGGTGGGTTCTAACTGGTGCTGCTATTTTTAAAGGCGGGTCTCAGATGTTAAATAACGGTGCGGTTAAGGCTCTTTGTTGGATTCCTAAAGGCTATTTTTAGTTTTGCCAGACAAATTGGCTGCAGAAGTTATTCGGTGGATGTGAGGCTTTCGCATTATAATGGGCATTAGCTCTTTTCCCCCTAGTGTACCCCTTTTTCCAGTTTTTTGTTCAACCCCAATTTTCTGACCGTGCTTTAAGGGGTTTTATTCAAGTAATACCTGGTGACCACTCTTGCGATTTTCCAGATACTTTGGACCCTTTGCCTGTTCTATATGTTTTTATTTTTTTTATATTTTTACATCGGGAAAACAGGGTATATTTTTAACCATTTCCATTGGAATGTATTCATAAAACAGAAAAAAATCTGGTTTCCTAATACCGATCCTTGTGGAACCCCACAAGTTACTCTTCCCCATTCTGAAGTCTCTTGACAGTCACTCTTTGCTTCCTTCCTCTAAGATACTCTTTAATCCACAGGAGTCGAAAAAATGCAATCCACCCAAAACTCTTTTGTATCGCACATTTATTACTTTGTCATAAAACTCTTAAGAGGTTAGTAAGACAAGATTTGCCATCACCAAATTCATGCTGGTTATTGTTAACGAAAGCACTTTTATTCAAGAGTTCTACCACTGGTTTTCTGATAAATGTCTCCATTACCTTGCAATGTATGCATGTCTGAGAAACTGGTCTGTAGTTTAACACCTCCTGTCTGTCTCCTTACATATAGGAACTACATTTACTGTCTTCCAGATCTCTAGTAACTGCCCCGTATATATATTGACTTACGGTAGATCATAGGGGTTTAAACAATCCTTCTGTACCCTCTCGCAGAATCCATGGTGACACTGTCAGGACCCATTGCCTCTGATGTATCCAGCTCCAACAAAGTTTCTTTGCCTTCTTCTCTGTTGTGTGGATGGTATTCAGTACTTGTAAGTGCCCCATCCCCCCTGTTCCTTAGTTTCTAGTATTGCCCCAGTTCCCACTAAGAAGATTTCGATTTTGTATCCACACTTCACAAACTTCCTTGTCATTGTCCGTGAGTTTTCCTCCTTCCTACCTCAGTCGAATTACCTGGTCCTTTACTGTCGTCTTTCTGCTAATGTGGCTGTGAAAGAATTTTGGTTCAGACTTAGCCTTTGCTGCTTTGTCATTCTCAAACTGTCTCTCAGCCTGTGTCTGCTGTCTCCGTATTCGCCACCTCTCTGTGTGTACTCACCTATTTGTGGTTCACAGCTCCTGGCCCCGCCTCTTCGCCGGTTGCTACTAGGTCTACTCTCTCCCTGCTCCATGAACTTTATCGTAGTTGTGTGTGTGTGTCTGTGTGCATTTGGGGAGGTAGGAGGGGGAAGTGGCCCAGGAAAGAGCTCTTGAGGGGGGTGGGGTGGGAGAGGGAAATTGAGTAAGGAGACATGATAGAGGAAGGCACCAGCACCCTGCCTGATATACACATACCTTCCTTCAAGTATCATGTGTTGTGAGTGTAGCAGCTTAATGACAACAGTCAGTGCCTCGTCCACGTGGGTCCTGCCTACAGTGACACTCACTATTGCTGCCTCAAGTAATGATCAGTGTTATGTGCTCCATTTCTAGGCGGTGCCGCTTTGCATTTCCACATAGTTGATTGTTTGGTGTGCATTTGCAGTCCAACAGGGATCTCCAGTATGTTGTAACGTAAGACTGACCTTGAGGGCTACGTTGTAACTGCATATTATCACCTCTTTGTTTTACATAACCAGATTTAATAGGTTTTATATTGTTTATCTTCTCATCTTCTACCATATTTCGTCTTATCATTCCTTCTGTAAATCAGGAAGCAGATTTTACTGAGCTATATTTAAGCTGGTTATACCAAGATGGAAACGGTGTTCAGGAAAGCTGTGACTTCCTGGCTCCCCCGAACGACTTGATCGACAGACCTGACTTGTTGACCTGATTTGTCATAGCAGTTCAAACACTGGCACACATATATTTTAAACGAAAGCCTGAAGATAGTCAAAGAATAACCTAAGTATTTCACTGACCGGCTAAGAATTTTAAGAGCAACCTGGTATTAAGTTTGGAAGAGCGCCATGAACTCACAGAGTGTACCCAGGATGAAGACGATGTAGCAGTGCACGACGGCGAACCTGATGAGGTGAGGTGGTGTAACTGGCTCGTTGAGCTCGTAGATGCCCATCTCGTAGCACTTATGACAGTTCACCTCGGTACAGTTGATAGTTATGTTCTGGATCCGTGGCATTGCACCTTCACACTCTCAACACTTTCCTTAAAATGTAAATACATGGATGATGATTCTAGGTAGTTTGCGAAGTCTTAATCCAGAGACCTCACAGATGCTTATGAGAAGCTGAGGAGGCATTGAGTACAGACGAGTACAAGGGGCAGGCCAGCCTCCCCCATAGAGTACTCCAGCTACACTGGTGTTGAAGGGGGGTGCCAGCCTCCTACCACCATCACCCGCCAAAAACCCATACTAAAGCAAGAATCCTTCCA